ACTGTAATCATCACGGCAATTGTCTGGAACTGCGTCAGTCAGAGCAATAATATGATGGACCATGCTGGATTACGTAATTAGACTTAAAGTTACTTTTAATGAAAAATCCGCTTTCTGTAAAATTAGTTCATAATTGATTTGGAGGACAGAGTTCATCGTCATAAAATCCCTTCAGTTCATTCCGTCAGGTGAGTAAGTAGTTGAGAGATACCCGACTAGGGTTTCACTCTTGTTGAAGCTCACCAGTATTGCATACCGGAATGTGAATTCAGACCCTTCACACTGATCTCCTGGGTTCAACCATTGTAACAACCAGCTCGTATCGATGGGGATCCGCTCTTGTCTTCATTGATTGTCAGTTAATTTATTTGGTCCGAACGAAGATGATGCAGACTTGATCCTCTCCCACAATCTCAGCTCATGTAAAAGGTGGATATGCAATAATGGTGAGTATCGACTGAGGTGAAACTCTTGAGACCTAGTGCTAACGGAATGGATTGAAAATCGTGCGTAAAGACGAAGCATGAAAATAGACACGTCCAAATCATTATCATGCATCCTACATCACTACTAACAAGTAGCTACGTAATGCTTTAAATATAATTTAAAATATTTAGATTACTTCTGATCAGTTTACGCAAAAACCCGTAAATAAGAAGTCAGTTGATTGAAGGTTTCCGAATGCAAACTAAAGAGAGTTTGCTACATCTGTTCTGGTACTTTGATCGAAACGAGTTGGCCATCATTAGGGACGATTTAATCATGAATCTTAATCGGTAATTCTGGTCAAGCACGGGGTGAGCCGGTTGGTGCACCGTTTAAACACAAGCGTTCCGTGTCAGACATCCGCACTTCGAATCCCGGATGGCGTGCTCATTACGACCTAATGGTAGACTTCAATCTATAGTGCTTCCCCAATGCACGGCTGACCGGATTAACACGATATTCTGAAGAGAGAATAAGACCGAGTGACGATCAGTCGAACGGATTGACTGTGAAGTAAATGGAATGCACTGACTGAGGAATTATTCGCATAGCTATAATAATTATTGAGCTAAAAGTTACCGTTATATGCTGTGTCTGTGTGCGTTATCAGCTGGCAGATTGCAGTCGACTAACACTAACTGCTGTCTTCCTTATCAGCGATGGACGTCTGTAGACCGGTGGAATTGGATAACTTGACTGTGATGTAGATGTTTGGTTCATGTTTTTTTTAATCTGTACACAAGGAGCTTCATTATTCGATCCGATTTTGTGTCAGTAATTCATTCCTGTGGCTACAGGTTCGAATGAAAAAGATAGAGAAATTTAAAAAATGTAGTTAAGAAACATGATCGATAAGGAGTTATCAATGATGACTGCTATGAACCATGTCAATGTTTCGTGCACAAACCTGACTCAATTGTAATATGTTATGTAAATTGTCCTGTCAGAGCGGAACTCAGATCATATATGACGTTAGACAACAGACAACATGGGTATTAGCTACATTTCAGACATTCAAAAAACAAAATTATCTGAATTCAATTATGTTTTCTTCTCTAGCAGAAGAATGATTTTACTGCTGGAAGGGGGAAGTGAGTTACGGATTCAGACGCAAAAAGGCACGACCACGAGCAGTACATACTCGACTACGACCACAATTGGCCGGTCCAATATGAGCAGCGGTCTGGGCAGCTAGCTTGTTTCCCGACTAGATGTTTCTTTCATTATATGGAGAAAAGTTTGTGAAACACAGTTCAGATTGGTAGTGTTAACCATTGGTAGGAAGATTAAGGCATATACTGCGATTGGTTTGCTTGTTCGAAATTAAATGACATGCATCTGCAATGTGATTGCACAGCAACGGTAGCATTCAGAGCTCAAACTTCTGCTCCTCGACCAATCGTAATCGTAGTCAGCCTAAAATATGGGGCTTTTGGCCGGGTAATTTCGTCTCAAGACTATGGTAATTTTCAAACCTCATATCTGGTGGACACATTACATGAAGTATTGACGATAGCAACAATTTTCATACATTTAGACGCAAAACAATCCGGAAGATAAAATTTTGGTACCTAGGGTAACGTTTGGCAATCGTGTTTTATTTGCTTTGCTATACATGTGTATTTTTAGCCTCCGATCCATAGAAGACCACCTGTCTGCTAGTGTTTCCTCATCATCCTGTATCCCGGTCGCCTTGTCTTCCTATCGCCGATCCCCCGCTGTCGTTCGTAAAGCCTCATATCGTCTCGACCTGTGAGAATACGAGCCGAGGGACATCTTGTCGCGCATTTCTGTTCACTCCACTACGCTGAGAGAGCCCGGAGTAAGTTGGCATTAAACCAATATCTTGCCTGAGGATTATAGCTCATTTGGAAGACGACATTATTGAAACAAATCATTTATCGCAACATAAAAAGCACTCTAGAAGGATTTATGAAGAAGAAGAAAATAGTGAAAATATTAAAAGTAATTGAGTAATATCAGAGCAGAAAATAATTTTGGGTGAGCTGGAAACCAGAGGACATGCAAAACGATTGCTATAGATCATGCTCACGATAAGTCATGCAATGATTCATAAAAACTGAAGAGTTGCAATTGTCTTTGATACACTTGATATCAGGGGTACGGAGAAATACTGGCTTAGTATGCGTTTGTCGGGACGAATATGCTATAGAAAAAGAATACAGACCGACTATCCGAATGATAATACACTAAATTAATTTTCCGGAAACTGAAATTGAGGGAATACGCAGCAGGAGCCCAGCATCAAACAGTGAAGCTATAGTCGAGGACCTGAAGAATTGATGGTGCTCAAAGTTGGCTAAGAATTGAAGCTACTTTGATTAGTATGCGGGTTTTGAGCTCGACAGATATTCAAGTCAGTGCACACCGCAACCGGAAAGTAACAATTATAAGAACAATGGAACGGAACAGAATATACAGCCATGGTCAAATAACTAACCTGAATAATCATGTCACCTTTGACGATTCTGTCCATTCATTCATTCATAACAAATTTGCCGCCAAATTTCACCTCCATGGCACATGATAGATGAAATCCCAGTGAGTGCATGATAAGCTACATCAGTGAACCACGTATGCAGCGGTTCATGGGAGTTTGAAAACGAGCATCACAACAGAAGAACACTGAATGAGAAAAATTGCCCGCTGTGACCCACATCTTGGGACAGATCGTTGACTAGACGTGAAACTCATCGTCGGACTTATTTCTGGAGGAATACCTCCGATCCGCCAAACGCAGAGCCCACATGTCAATTTAAGCGTGCAGTTTTCGGGAGAATTAGTGACCGTTTGAGCAGATGAAAAGGTAATGGGTTAAATTGATCTACGTTTGAATTGAATGCTTGTATTCAATCAACAATGAATAATAAAGCTTAATACAACATGTTATTCCAATCGATAAATTTATAATGAATTTACAGGACAGCGATAGAGTACTCAAATTAAGCAGCTCAAAATTGTAGTCGGTGCCAGTAAAATGGGACGGAATTCTCATGCAACAAAGCACCAACATCCAAAAATATTATCTTATGGTTGAACAGACTGTATTGCCATTCATAGCACAAATAGACAACAGTTTGTCACAAAATGACGGCAACATATGTTACCGAATAAGATTTGTTCAAGGATTTAAAAAACATCCTCCTCTATGAATGCTAACCAAACCTAACCTACTCGGAGTATGCGTGGGATTTTCGTGTCAGTGTTCAGTGGGTTGGGATGCTCCTGGCATGGAAAGATTGCACAGCTCTTTTATTAAAACTTGGAACGAAATGCGCTTCATGTTCGTCGGCGTTAGTAAGAAGCCGTACTAATTACGGTATTACAGAAGACATGTGTTCTGTGTTGCGTGCTTGTAATGAATATAGTAGTCGTAGTAGTACGCACGGAATTCGGAATACGAACCACGCAATAGGAATCACAGAACACGAATCGAGGATTAGCTGTCACAGACTGGACTACGGAAGCACTGGACCGCAATGGTACGAGCTCGCAGTATCCCATGTGGATGAGAAGAGAGGAAAAGGCCACAGGAATAGTACGTAGTTCGTTTATTGAAAGAAATGAGGGCGATTAAATATATGTACAAAAGAAGATCATTGGCTATCTAGGCTTCCACCAATTGGATTGTAATACTGCTTGTACAATCTTGCTTCGTCTACACCGTCTTGGATTGGCTGGCACTATTTGCCTATGGCGTGTAGTCGGAAGCCGTGCGTGTGTCATTGACATTAGCATTCAAATTTGATTGATCGCATGTGTCCGAAAACTGACGCGCCGCTCCAGAGTAGGCGTCATCTCTTAATCCTGAGTTACCACAGTGCTGCTATATGCTTATATTTGGAGTGAGCGCTAGATGTAGAGATACATAGCCTAAGGTGTGGGTACGGTGAATGAGATGGGTCTAGTAGTATTCTGGTAGAAAGTTTCCGGCATGCCCTAAGGTGCTGTAAAATAATAAACTGCACAACATAGTCACGAGATATGCCACTGTATCGACATACGTGTTTGATGGATGTACGTAAGCAAAGCCGTTTGTAACCAAAGCTGACATCCGGGTCGGTTAATCACTGGTAGTTTACCCGTTCGAGTTGTTTTAACATCTTAATTTCAGACAGACCAATAAGAAGCGTAGAAACCATGCACACACACACCTTCCTGGTTGTAGCACTGATCACCTGTTTGATTAGCCATAGAAGGGTGTTGTACTGTTATCCGACAATGTGGGTAACGGCTCTCAATGAACTGAGGTTTTCGCAAACAGTGCCATGATTTTCGTTAGCCGAAGGATCCGGCGGTGAAAATCCCTTCGAGAAAATTCAATTGAGTTGGATTGGGCCATGTGACAGCATTCCACTCACTTTTTAACAAGTATTGTACCATGGTTTGTTTAAAGCACAGTTTGTACTCGCTCGCGAGAAAAATCGAATGAAGTAATATCACTTCATGGACTACTTGTTTCACAATAAGCGTTCGTTTATTAAAGCTAAATCATGTTTCGTTTTGGCATAAACCATATTTTGAACAAGGTCAACATAGAAGGAAAACAAATGACTTCTTTCGATGTACAATTCCTGTTCACTAATGTACCAGTTCGTGAGGTCATACAAATCACGTGTGATCACGTGAAGGAACAAATTCAACTGAGTCTACTGGTGTTCGTCCTTGAGCGTCTGTTACTATTCTGCACAATCGACGTGTCTTTCTCTTTTCATGGAAATGGATACAGGCAAATTGATGGTGGCGCCATGGGCAACCCGAAAGGGTCAGTCCTGGCAAACTTGCTGATAGCGCATCTGGAACTGATTGTACCAGGCATGCTATCCGGTACGAAAATCACGTCGTTACGTGGGATATTGCGTGCTAGTGCCAGTGCGGTCCAGCGCTTATATGATCCAGTCCGTGATTGCTAATCCTTGATTCGTATTCTGTGATCCGTATTGTGTGTTTCGTATTCCGATTTCAGTGCGTATTACCATGATCAGTATCAATACTTGGTGACGTGAGGTCGCTCAATCTGTGTGATCTCGGTTTTAGTGGATTTTCTGTGTCAAAACTCGTCGTACAACGTCGCATCTGCGCTCATTTGACTCAGTTCGGTGGGCTTCATCGTGTGATATCACTCTCTTGGACGCAACCTACGTGTATCGCGTTTCCGCCGTTCGGCTGTTCGGAGTGAATTCTCCATCTTATTCACGTGCGTGAGCTTGTTCAAGTTTCCACGCATTATCTGCATTGTGATATCATTTTAAAGAAAATTCTACGCTCTATCTAACGAGAGTTTATTCAGCTCTCTGTAACCGTTTATACTAGAGCTACAGATATAATTTATGTTATTCAATTCTGCTCAGGTCTCCATCGCGTCTGCACGTGTGTCCGTCCGTCCATCCCCAGTCGCCGAGATTGATACGCACTGGTTGCCCCAGTCATTGTCTTACACGCGGACTTTTCTCACTGCAGTTTGGGTGACTCAACCACACCGACTTCACTTTACTTGACCTTTGTCAACAATCTCCGGTTTCGCCGTTCACAGTACATCAAAAATGGGTCGCCGAAGTTTGTCAACACTGTTAGTCACACAGGGTTCGAGTGTGTGCGCCTCAACAGCCTGCGGAAAGGAGGTCAAATTAGGAATGCCATGCACATACTACCAGAAGAACTTTCACGCTGCATGCGCCAATCTATCGATTAAGAAGATGAAACAGATGCAGACACAACCGGACAGTTTTTGGTTTTACAGTGATCGCACGAAGACTCCGGTTTTAAAATACATGGTGGGCATTGAAAATAGGTTCGAGAAGCTACTATTAGCTGTGGAAGTT